TGATTAACAAAAAATTAAAGACGCCAAGAAGTCTTCATCAAAATGCCTAACCAAACGGTATTTTACCTGACCCTTTCTGGATATCACACAACGTGAGTCACCAGCGTTTGCAACAAATAGCTGCTTGTGTCTAATAACAGCTACACATGCAGTGCTCCCAGAATTAGGTCCAGAAAAATCAGAATGAGGACCCTGTTTTCACAACGAAAGCACAAGTCTTAGATATCTAATTCGATCTTCTATATAACACAGAAGAAGTGAAACTGAAAACTGAAAAATAGCAGATCATTATGCAGGTAGCAAAGATTTACTTCCTCAAAAGCCCAATCATCGGGTTTATTAGCACGGTCTCCGCTTCTTGGTGACCATATAAACCCTTCAAGCATTCCACTGAGCTTATTGATATTGTCACCGAGTACTGCTAATTCTCGCCATCCTCTTTGTCCTTGCATCATCTCATCCATTCTACAATGACCACATCAAACACTTTATACCGAACTTCAAACAAAATAGGACTCTTGTTGCTAATACTAAATCCTAAGCTCGGAAACTCGTAAAATGTTACCTGAAAAATGCTTTTTGAAGAGAAGTCCCTACGTCTCCAGCTGCATAAGCCTCATTACTAAGAACCTGCTGGTGTAGATACTTGGCGCAGAACTTTGAAACAACTTTACCTACAACACTAGCCAAAACCATTTGAGTTTCCATGTACCAATCAAAGTTAAGCTATATCAGTCTTCTAGCTCTAATTACAAGTTTTAAAACCGTTCAATTCGCCGAAAAAAGGAAGAAATGTTTCAATACCTCCATGGCCATCATACACACCCAAGAAGGAAGTGTTATCATCAAGATCAAGAATTGCTGCATGCTACCAAAATTAAAAACCAATGATTGAAAAATCAGTTAAGGATACAAAAAATCATCAAGACAAAACAAATAAAAAGGTTTCAACTTTTCGATTTTTTTTRACTCACTGCATCTTCCATGTTTGCACGCCAACCTTGCATTGAAGATAAACCATATCTGAGTTTATCATTTTCACCATCTTCTGAAAACTTATCTGTTTTCGGAGAACTAAGGTATATACCCATCTCTCTTTCTACAATGAAAAAAACCCAAACATTTTCTTCATGTAATCAAGAAACGAAATTTGCTTGATTAAACCCAAAGTACCAAAATTTGAGAAACAAAAAGTGAAATTTGAGAGGAATCGCAATGGACATTCACCTGAAACCTGTGATCTTTAAAATCAACAAAACCGAAATAGAAACCACCAAAAAGCAGAGAGGTTTGGATCAATTAGAGTTTAGACACTTGTATAACAGACCCAGAATTGAAAATCAGCAATTCGATGGATTAAAAACAAGTACGTGCGAGAAGCTTGGTTACTCACATCTATGGACTGATAAAGGCAAGACCTTTGGTTCCTTAAAACCAAAAATCTGGTCGTGGGAGAGAAACTCGATCGGAATGATTAGAAAGAAAAAAACAAGAAGAAATATTTGATGACGCACGGCGAGAAATTTGATTCGGGACCAGATTGTACAGACAGAAAAAAAGAGAGAGAGAAAAAGTCTGGTTTTGTTTTGCAGAAAAGCAAGGAAAAGTTCCTGAGTTTGTTTTCCTTCTCCTTACTCAAGATT